GATGTTATTAATATTAGAAACCATGAGTAACTTGACATAAAACCCATAAAATTCTATTGTTGAAACAGAAAGTACTAAATTTAGCAAAAAATGCCTGTCAGAAACCCGTTGCCATGGCAACACAAAAAATTATTATCTTATTCCAATGATAGAGAATTGTTGCCAACAATATTTTAGGAAAAGTCACCAAGTTTGGTCGTTCTACGGCTAGCCGTTCAGACGCTAGGTGACATCAAAGTTGCCGCGGGCACTTTTAGCCCCCCCCCCGGTCTAGGTAGGGTTAAGTCCACACGACGTTACACACTTGCCACGATGGCTCATATTAACATAATACGTGAATTATATAAGAATATATAGCATTGGAATAATTTCTACCCTCTATTCGTTTTTTTTTTTTTGCGTAGTAACTTTTTTCTGTTTTGTATACCTTATTATTCGGATTAGATTACTTAGCACCACTGCTTTGTATTAACTTCTGTACTTTGAGACTGTTAAACTTGTGTGTCGTTCCTTTTCTGTATATACTATTTGTATTGTTGCCCTTAGGCTATGCTTATTTTTCTATTCATTACGTATTATCCATTGCAGTATTTATCATTAATTTTGCATTAAATCCGTGGTTCACGTAACTTTGTATCAGTTCTTAGTTTCCATTTCTTTTCGATTGTATGCATGTATTGCAAAATTAAAATGCAATAAGAAAATTAGAAATCAAAAAGAAATTCATTCAAGTCTCTGTCACGTGATTATCACATACGTCACTGACAAGAGAACTCCAAGACGAGATCTTAACCGGGTTGAAGAAGAGACAGATTACGACCCGAAAGCTCCCCAGTGTAGCTGAACTTTTGTTTCAAGTTAAAACTTTTGGTCCGACACAGAAAAAATCTCTCACCTAGAGCTTTCGACCAGTCACTCTGGTCTTCCTCAGTAGACTGACCCAGTGAAGCTTGTCACGTGGCTTCTCGGAAGTGTGACGTCAACACTGGTTCAAAGGTATCTGGTAGACGATGTCGGCCCCCGTCGCGGTTCAATGAAGGGTGATGGGTTCTGATGTGTATGGCTTCCTTCACCCCTCTCAGGAAATAATCTTGTTCAGTGTCCGAAAGCCTTACGTTGTCAAGTAAAACAAAGTGTCCGGGTGACTCTATGTGTGTTTCTGTCTATATAAAATATTTCGTCAAAAGAAATGTATTCATGTTTTTCAGCAGCGTTCTTCTTCGTGGAAGAGGAAACCTAGTAGTGACGGGACAGTGGAGTCCAGAATACATGATTCAGGAACACTAGACGTCCAATCAGCAACGAGCTGCCAACATCACACAAGGATAGTGTAGCCATACGTCACTGCTCGTGTATATGTATAGTGCAATAAAGGTTAGGACTACATCATGTATGTTTTTGCCAATGAATATGATCATTAATCTGTAAGAACACCGTAAAGCAAGCGTAAAGGCATACACGAGGGAAGAAACGGACCCTTTACGCATACTTTGATGTGTGCTTGATTACATATACATGTAAATAATGAATGAATTGTGTGCAGGGATTTTGTTTGGTTACAGAATTTTTCTGCCTGAACCATATTCATGAGGAAATCTGGAGCAGTAGTTTGCCTGTACTGCATGCAGCAACATATTGTAAAATACTTTTATTATCTTCTATTTTACATTCAGATGGAACAGCCAAGAATGAGTTACGGGCCTCACGTCGCTGGGAAGTCCCAAGGAGTTCAAACCACCCAACGGTTATTTTTATGACTCTTTCTTACGCAGGTGACGTGGAATCTGATTGATGTAGAGTTCAGCTGGCGATTATTTGCCATGTGCGGCAGAACTGATTTATAGGTCACCCCAGACGTGCGCGGGATATGGAGAGGTCAAGGTCAGGGTAATTACAAATTTTCCGTACCATTTCTCCCGACCTTCATTGACTGCAATCTTTAAGGGTTACGACGTAAGACGGTGATTGATCGGAGGGCATTTTCTCAAGTTCAAGACTGTGGATGCTTCTTGAAGCTGGTATCCAGTTCATGGATGTATCCACAAGATACGAGACGAAGGGGACGACTTCCTCCAGAAAAATACGAAGAGTGAAGAGGAAAAATTAGACTAGAGAATAGAACATTCTGTATTTGTTTTTCACCTCAGTGTCTTACACATTTGTGATATTCATACAGAAACGTAGAATACCCTGCATTCTTGTGTAGTAGTCATTTAAGGAAATTCGCGAATTAAATTATGATGTATCAACCTTCCTTCCTTGCAGTATACCATGACACAAGACATCAACCATTACTCACTATTGAATGAATATCTAGCAGTAAGAAGTATAAATTCCAACATATCAGCAACGTACCCTCTAAAGGATTAACAGCGTCTTGTGAGAGAAACCGTTTTACGTTAGCAGCGTAGATACCTATGTTATCTATATTAAACAGACACAGTAGTACGTGTAGTGGTGTCAGATGCCTTTTTATGTTTCGTATTCTTGTTTTTGTATTATACATTATACAATGATTAAATTATGAGACATGAATTTTTTACATGGGGTGCAGTACAGAATATGTAAGATGACAATTCATATTGGACCGTTGCATCTTATGCGTGAATTTGAATATTTGTATTTATTGGCAATGATATATGTAATTACTTCGGTCTGTATACTAGGCAGTCTCGGCATTAGGCCACACCAATTTAATTTGTTGTTTCTCGGATTTTTTTAGAAAAAAATATGGAGCGACAGGGCGAAAAAAAACAGCCAAGGCACCCCATGATGGCCAGAAATGTTACAATATGAACCATAGAGTGAACATACCAGGCTGGTTTATAATTAAAACAACAAATTTTGAACTTTTAATGAAAAAAAACTTGCGTTGAACAACTTTAACAACTAGGAAAAAAGGACTTTCTTCAACCGTTGGGGCTAGTTTATTCAGAACCTAAAATCCCTTTTTTTTGCAAATCAGAATAAAGTGGACAGGCGAATCCGAGAAACAACAAATTAAATTTTTGTGTCCTTACGAACTTTTCTCGTCGAAGAAAACAGTCTATCTAGTCACGTAACTTTTCATATGTGGGTTGGAGTTCCAATACGTGATAGCGGTCGTCTTCACATTATTGATCAAGACGTTATCTAGGCTAGAATATTGATATTTTTGTACCTTACTATACCATGTTTGATCGACGTATATGAGTGAATAAAACCTGTCAAATACGGTTTCCTATTATTGCGTGAATATGAGAGTATCTTACCGTCTTACTGACTGTGTATCTTACTGTCTTCCACAGTATTAGCACATGCACGCAACACACTACCTCGACAGATTTTAATAATTTTAAAAATAGAATGTGGGGAAGAATAAAATTACGTCTAAGAAATGTGTCGATATGCTGAGGTCCAATTTTTATCGAGTTTCCGTTATGCTAACATTCCATTGATCATTTTTGACCAATAATGTACGCTGATACTTACACGCTTTTGAAAATTATCAATGTTACAAATAAGTGCGAAGTTAAAATCATCCTGAATTAGGTCATCATGATTTATTAATAAGACAGCAACTATCTCAAAAAAGTATACAAAATACAGAAAAAAGGGTGTAGTATGTCGTAACCTTAAACTGGAAATGTTCAAACCTTTTACGGCGTATCTGCAAAATAACCTCGCCTTCTGTCAGGAAGCTTCTACGAAAGAGGGTTTTAAGGTCAGCGGGGAATTGGACAGGTTCGTTCCGGATGCTAGCTGCCCTTTGCCGGCATTTCAGGGCTCCATCCTGGCATGGTGTGGTATCGATTTCTATAACATGGTCCATTTCCAGGCAAGCTTTTCCGGGCGTGGAAAAATTCAGACGAAAAAGTCAGGACGTGTGATTAAAAAGCCAGAGGTGAGGATGTTGATGTGGCGTGAACGCTCCTCATGACTTGTGCGTGAAATGATCCATAGGCTGTGGAAGACCCCAGGCGATGGTGCTCGGATCTGCAGGCATTATTGGGCTAAGCACAGATCACATGTAACAATCTTATACAATGTGTTGACAGAAAATTTGAACTGTAACTTTGGACTAATCTCCCTGACTGTTTAAACCTTAGAGGTACATATCCAATATTTTGTCAAAAACATCTCTGTTACATAGCGGATCATAATGATCCCCAGCGTAAAGTTTTTTTATAAAGTTTTAGTAATCCGTATGTTCAAAGAATTTTTTTTTCTCATTTGATGTGATCTATTGATGATCAATGAGTCGAGTGCATTTATTCTTTAAGATAAGTGTTTTCGAAAAAAACATTGTCTAGACATGTATGACACAGTAGAGTTATTTTTACATTTCTATGTAATTATTCGTATATTGAATTATTGATTGTGCATTCTTAGACATTGAACTGATCCTAATACGAAAAGCTTTACTATAACAATGGTTTTACTTCTTTCTAACTATCAGTAAATTCGAAAAAAAAGGCTGTCTGACGTCAGGTCTCGACGAAACCAAATTGTAATTAGTACGACTCCAATGTTAATTTTCTGGCAAAAACTATTCTATTTTGACCAAACACTATGTTCCGAGAACTAGATGTACTTTACACATTGGAAGAAATGTTATATGATTACAATTTTATATGATTACAGTTAGTCCCCTGGAGATTGCTCTATGTGTGTTAGGCTATGGGAAACTTATTTGAGCGTTCAAGTATTTGCAGATAAAGATGTGAAAGGTAGACCCTTTTCGTGTGAATGTGCTGAATAAAAAAAAAATAAAACCATAGCCTAAAAGAACCATAACTTTGAGACTCCTTATTTTCCGTATATATTCGTTGAGTGCAATGTTCTACTAATGATTCAATACCATTAAACGGCATTAACAAGATATGGAAGGTAGACATTTTTCAAATGTGCAACTCCTACCCTTGCAAATGCCCCTTTAAAAGGTCTGAGTAAAAAATAAAACCATAACATGAAAGAACCATAACTTTGAGACTCCTTTTTTCCCTATATTTTCCATGTTGAGTGCAATGTTCCACTAATGATTGAACGTTCAATACCATTAAACTGCATTAACAGATATGAAAGGTAGACCCTTTTCAAATGTGCAACTCTTAGCCTTGCAAATGCCCCTTAAAAGATCTGAGTAAAAAATAAAACCATAGCCTGAAAGAACAATAACTTTGAGACTCCTTTTTTTCCTATATATTCCATGTTGAGTGCAATGTTCTATTAATGATTTACAGTCCAATACCATTAAACTGCATTAACAAGATATGACTTTTTTTTTCAAATGTGCAACTCCTAGCCTTGCAAATGTCCATTTAAAAGGTCTAAGTAAAAATAAAACCATAGCCTGAAAGAACCATAACTTTGACACTCCCCTATATATTCCTTCTCTAGTGCAATGTCCTGTTAATGATTTACCGTCCAATACCTCTAAACTGCATCAACGTGCTATTCACACGCCTGAAACGGCTTCCAATAGTCCGGCAATATCACGAGATGTTCTCATTACGCTGCAACTTAGATCCTTGACAACGATCCGGTCAGATGAGAGAGGTCTAGGGCATAATCCCTGAGGTGCTCTATCATGTCAGTAGCGGGCGTCATGCCATTAACAGGAGGGGCTTTAAGGAAAGGATTGATAGTTCTCATTGCCCGGTGAAGCGCCCATTGTCATAAGTCTCATTTGACAGCGTTTCTTAGCAGATTGGATGAGAATACATATTATATCATTACAGGGGGAGATACCCCGCTGTAGCAAATGCCAGCGTTTCTGATGTGTGAAGTTTGTGTTGAAAACGCAGTGGGGAAACGGGAAACGAGGTTTGGTGCTGTGCTTTTCTTGAAGTATGTTGCGATTGGCACTTGTAAATTCAACTGTTATATATAAGTCTTCAGAAGGTGTCAACATTTAACATCATTCTAAGTCTTCCATGACCGGTGCAATAGCTCAATTGGTAGAGTGCTCGCTTTTTCAAACCCCGGCCAGGTCATACCAAAGACTTTAAAAATGGTACACACTTCTTTCTCTGCTTAGCACTCAGCACATATAAGAAAGAGGTCAAACACACAGCACTACCAGCGGACCAGCCCCCTGCTGTAGTGCATTGCACAACTGTGTGTCGCCCAAGGGCTACAGAAATGGATATGGGCACCACCCCTATGCTTTGCAATAGAGTGGAACGGGTCCTTTTAAGTCTTCTATGGCCAAATCCATAATTTCACGGGTGACCTTGGCATTGAATGGCGTCTATATGTATTTTTCTTCTTTTCGTGCTAAACTGGCGAATATATCAATCCATGTTTGTGTGTTAGAATGTTTGGTACATGAACGTTCTTTTTTTTTCCTTTTCATGGTCCGTCCATGAACTTTATTTACACAATGTACATGTTTTATTTACATATATCACTTAAAGAAATCAGATTTCCCCCTTTTGTTTTAGCCTTTTCGTGCGATATGTTATATTCTATTTGAAGTATTTTTTAGGTTTCTATAGAAAATGGAATAACATTCTATTTGCTCAAAGTGCTCTTTTTCTTTATATAGTGACCATGATTTGTAGATAGAATATAGATCAATCGCTATCATGTGATCCCTCCCCCCTTTGTACATTTGCTTGGTTCTTGATATTCCCATTATACATGTTAAGATCAATAACGTCTATATACTATCACGCTTAATAGTTTCTTTAATTTTTCCCAAATGAACGTTCTTGTAAAATCTGAGTTGTTACCCTTACCGTGTGCTCAATTGCAATATTTACTTTTTTCTAATGCAAACAACACAGACGTTTACAATAGATTCGTACATGCACACCCAACGGACTAAATGAGATATGTTCAGTCCTACTACTAATGGAAAAGGCACCCGTCTTTTCACTGATTTATGGGAAAACGATGCTAGCCTGAACTTCTAAATGAATGACCAGTGATTTAAAGTATAAGAGCGTGTAAATGAGGCAATTTCTCCAAAGTCTACCAGTTTAACCGGCGTAATCCATCTCCCCATTCTTCACAGTCACACGGAAATTACCATACCAAGTGTGGGGTATGCAGACATTGTAGTGCCCTACAAGTTTTAATGAATGAATGAATGAATGAATGAATGAATGAATGAATGAATGAATGAATGAATGAATGAATGAATGAATGAATGAATGAATGAATGAATGAATGAATGAATGAATGAGTGAATGGATTCATTGCTCGACATTTGTACATGGTACAATGTGTAGCAGTGTACAAATAAGTCTACAAAACAGTTCTACTAATACTGTCCAGCTATTAAAACTGAAAATTATTATCGATAACATTATAATATGGGCAACGCAACAAAATAGTCGGATGATTTGGTCTAGATTTTGGAATAAGGTAGACAGATGTATGCAGGCATGGACGTTGGGCACGACAATAGTATGATTGTGAAACAATTTACTTTGGCTTTATAGATATCTAATGACGCCTTCGTTCCAGACATGTTTTGAGACGATGGTGAGACAAAATGGAATGACGTCTAAGAAGACAAGACAAGAAATATAGAGGAGGGTTTTGGGACCAATTTGTTTAAAATCCAGTTTCCGTCTTGCAAACACCCCTTTGATCCATTTTGACCAATTACGTAAGCTTACGTTTCTTTTCTTTTCGTTTTGAAAGCATCTACATGGTTACAAATCAGGTAGAAAATCAAAGTCCTCTTTCTTAATTTTATCTTTAGCTCCTTGTCAGTACAAAAAAATTGTAGATTGCATTTTGCCATTAGCTCATTGTCGATAGAAAAAAAATGTGTAGGTTGGATTTCGTCATTTGCTCCTTGTCGGTAGCAACCAGAGATCATAGTAGTTTCATTCAAGAGAGCAAAAGTATAAGTTTAGCATGTTCTACCTCATGTGTTTGAGAAACCTTCACATTCAAAAATATCACTCCACAGGGCATTGCGTCTTACAAATCTGCCAAAAACACCTTCCAGGCATAAGGGCAATTGAGTCCTCCCCCCTTTTAATCACAAAATGGGTGATCCTAAGTCAGATACTTAGTCTAAAGAGAGAATTGAAAATGCCTCTGATTTATCAATGTTACCGGATACCAGTGTCGTCAGTGCTACCTGATGAAACACCCATGGGGAGATCCATTTTCATAATGAAGTTCATGTCAACAGTTTATATCAAAGATCAGTCAGCGGAGGTCTGCCATGTTACGTCGCCTGGCGCCGTTCTAATCAGGCCACTGACGTAGACCCAATGTCGCCCCAAGTGGCAATAGCCAGATTCCACAGGGTGATAGCCGCCGCTAATGCTACTGTTTGTTCAGAACGACCTTCATTAAGGCCACACGCTATACATGCCTCTCCTTAACGAATTTCAGGCATGAACTTGCACAACGATATCATACAGCTTCGTGACCAGATTCTGTACCAGCGCTTGCCACACGTATTGTGTATGTGCTCGTTAAAATGTGCATTAAGATGCTTGATCTTTCAGGTAGGTCCCACTAGTCTACCACGGTCTTTACAAAACTTTTCACTCCTTTGGCATTGAAGTAAGATCCTTGAACACGAAATGAAGTCGTGGGGAAACTGATCGATTACCACAGACGTCAGATGAGCCGGGATCTGTCTTAGAATCCCATGATAAAGTTCTGAGGCTTAGCCAGTAGCGACATACAGATGTACTATCGACCTCATGCACATAACACAAAGCTAGATAATGGCCTCGGGTGACCCTGTGCTTTAGCAGGAGAAGTTATTGACATGTCGGCATGAAGATGGACGCCTTGGGCGATAAAAGATAATAGACATGGTTAAGACCCGCCGTCCTTTGTTGAAGGATAAAAAGGCTGTCCAGCGGCTTCCTATCTAAACGTACACGTAGGTAAGTCTCCAGCTTCAAATGGAGACGTCAAAAAATGTCTCAACATAAAACTTGACCGTTACGGCCTGATGGCATCTATAACAGGAAACATT